GACACAAAATGAGCTCTGTTACCACACACTTCCTACAGAATCTAGACTGCAACCTGCCTTTAACTGTAGAGAGGCCATGCTTACAAGATTTGTTTATGACACCATGAGTAGCAAAATCTGTCTGCATTTAAGAATGCAGAATGAAACTCTAAATCTTAAGTGAAATTAAAGTGAAAACATCACAGCTTTGGCTCAGGTTTCCATGCTACAAGGCAATAAGCACATATTTGAGTAGTTACATGCTTAGATACCTGAAAAATTGAGGTGCTGTGCAGATTTGCTGAAGTAAGACCTACAGAATTTTCTCCTTAAATGCTTAAAATATATTTTGAAAAGCAGTAATGTTTATTAACAAGATGAAATCTATAGATTTTATTTCAGCCTTAAGATAAATTAGCTGATTAAAAGCTTTGAATACATTCTCCCATAAATAAGAATATACATCAGAAAATTAATATTTGTAAAAGGTTTTCAAATAAACTTTTAGAGATTTTAAGGATCCTATTATGAATACTAGCTTAAAGTTCTGTCTTTAAAATAAGGTAGAAAAACTATTTTACTTTAACATAAAAATGAATTTTATTTCAATTGTCATTCATTGGCACATATTTCCAGAGGTATGTAAGAGCAGCATGTAGCTTTGGTGACAGAAATATGTCTCCCCTAAAGGAACGGTGATGAAAGTCTTGAAACCATTTACAGTACAGTGCTAAGTGCTTATAAAAGCTAGCTTGATTATCTCCCAGAAAAAAGAAAAAGATGTAAAAAGTCAAAGCTGTAAATTAAGTGACTAATATTCACCATGAAATGGAAAATAAGAATTCAGTCTGTTTTACAGCTAACAATTTTCTAGTAGCTTAGTGACTTAAAACAGCAGCACAATTATTGTACAGACACTATAACTGCTTCCAAAAACTTTTTAAGTAACTCAGAGTATTGAAGGTCTACAAATGGCTGTTTTTTTCTCAGTATGAGACAAAAGTCTAAACACAGTCATCACTGTATTGTAATGAGCTTGATCAAATGAAACCTTCTCAAATGTTTACATTTATCCACAGGCATATAACTGACTTCATTCTGTCCTGTCAAAGCTTAGAAGCAGATCTATCAGATGTCAGAAAAAAGTCAAGTAACAAGTTCATAATGTTGTTACTGGCAAACACATGGAAAATTAGACTTCGTATCAAATACCAACATATGCAGCAATGCTTTTTGGGTTTTTTGAAGTATCAATACATTTTATTTTATTTCTCTAAAGGTAGCCCAATTAAGTTAGAGTTGAAAAGTTCATTTACACATACAGGCAGTCTCTATGGCTTCTGAAATGTATTACTACTACACTGTTTAGGGGGGTTTTGTGTAATTTGTGTTTTCAAATGCAGCAAATTAATATTTTGGAATGAACTGCTACATGCATCAGCTCACTCAAAACCGAAATCAGAGCAGAACTGTAAATGTGAGAAACAATACTAACTTAAATTCCAGTTACTGCAATTTTTTTTTTTTGAAGAAAAACAAACAAAAACAACCCCAACCACACCTCAAAAACCAGTTCCCCTTTTAACAGGATGCTGAAACATGACATACCACAACTAACTTTTAAATCCAAATGGAAAATACCACCTTTGGACAACATTCATTCATTCAATTTCAAGGTACATTTGGTAATTCCAGTTAAGAGGTAACAGTTTTTCCTTACCAGACAAATATAGACCTTTTTATGAACGCTCAGCTACAGGTGTAGCTACTATGATTGCAGTGTGGTAAGACTCCGAGGAACACATTTGATATCAAACAGAAAAGATTATACACTTAAAGAGCAATTCAGGGTATAGAGATGCCACTAAACGCTTGTCATTAAATCTCCCCCTGCCCCTGCCAAAGAAAGACTCTGCTATACATATATACTGTACCTAAAACTAGCAACATTTGGTACTCTAGGTTCTTATCCTGTTTAATTCTGTTTCTAATAGCTTATTAAAAAAATATTAGAAAAGAGCCACACAAATAGTTCTTATTTTGAATGCATCCTGAGGTACAAGCCAAAAAATGGTGGCTTAATCTCAACCTGAATGTTTGATTATGTGGCATAATCCCCATCTAAATGTAGTGAACGTCCACATGGATGAAGAACAGCGTTTCTGCAAAATTAATACCTCAACTTCTGAAAAAAGGAGAAGACAGAATTTGGGTCTGCATAAAATTATAATTGTGAACAGTGGCAGAACTAGAAATTTGTATATTAGAAGCCTCCTCTCCAAAAGTAACATCAAACAATCATTGTATTTTACCTGAAAAACAATTTTAGACTGTTATAAAATCTTGTCCTTTTCCAGAATGGCAAGGAGGATCATTCATCCTCTCTCAGAATGGGATAAATTGTCCCCTGGACTTGTTCTAATCCTATCCCCCTCTGCTGATTATATAGAAAATCTAGTTATGATTTCACACCTAACCTCTCAAACAACTGTAGTTACACAGTGCACAGTCATTGCAAAATCCAGACACACATCTCTTGAGAAGATTTTTCATCTAGCAAATGACACAGAATGTATATGAACCCAGAAGTAGCAGTAAGACTTCCCCTCTTTCCCCCAGTGAAGGTAAATCATCTCTGAAACAAAAGAGAGCGTTGAGAGAGATATGACAAATTCTGTCATCTGGGATCTCAGACTCAGGATTATATCTATTCCTACCTCCAACTCAAAAATCAAGTAGGAATCTATGCAAGATACTGTAACACATTTCATGAAGAGTGATAACAACTATTGACACAATTCCCAGCTTCAAATATATCATTAAATTAAAAAAAATTGGTGTTAATTCTATGCAGCTGTAATTCAGTAAGTTTCACACTGGCAGATTTTGGAGGCTATCAAAGCTACTACATGCAGAGAGCATTTGCTCTCATTATTATTTTATTCCACCAACAGCTCCAACAAATGGATTCATACACAAACAACCCATTAAGATGGCAAAATAAAATCAGATGTAAAATACAGTAGTAAGCCAAAAGGTCCATGAAGGCCAAGGAAAATGATCTTCCACAGAAATCAGATCCTGCACATTTCAGACGGCCTTTTACCTGCCCCAATGCAGTTCTGCCACCATCTTTCATTCACAGCCATTTCAAAATAGAAAAACTACTCTATTCTCCCATGTCTGAACAGCAATTTTTAGGTTAAACCAACTGGTGAATTTAGCTACAAGTATGTTTAGACACACAAATTATCTTACATATATATACCGTAGCATACATGTGGTTAGAGAGCATCAAGATACAATCTATTCAAATAACTTTTCTGATTTACAAATGCTATGTATAATCTAACCTTTTTTAAAAAAAAGGTTTAAGACTAGAATACCAGCACATAGATTACTGATAACTGTGACAGTGGTTTGGTTAACTACAATAATCTTACTCGGTTAAAGCAGTTTCAATGACTGACTGATAGTCTGAACTACTGACTTGTATGCAAACACAGGTGCTTACTTCACATTTGTCCTTCATTTCAGAAAGTTGCTGTGTAAATTAAGACTTTCCAGCCAGCTCAAGTGAATTGACTCTAACAACACGCTAGAACTAATTGAGGCACTTCAGGCAAGATTCATGAGACAGGATAAAATTAATGGGTCAGGCTGGCCATGCTACTATATCAAGAATATACTTGATTGACTGGGTAGCAGATTTCCTCTTATTATTCATGTAAGAGGATGGAGCTGGTCTAGTATTTCCACATGAAGATACCTGTTATCTCAGACAGAGAGGAGACAGCTAACACAGAAGCAAGTAGTAGGTTTATCTCTACACAGAATCAATACATCATTTTAACCTAATGGCTACTGAGATTTATTCTGTTGGCAAAATACATACCCAGGGGACAGAATTCCTTACACACAGCTATCTTAGGCTTTATTATAAATGGCAGTCACTGTAGCATCTAGGCACTAAGATAAAACCTTATACAGAGCTAATAATTATGGTCAGTATTTCCCACTATTACTAAGTTCATCCACATGAAGAAGTTAGCACTGTATGGCAGCGCATGAATTTACAGTGTTATTCCATATAATTTCATGCATGGACATTTATTACGAGACAGTTGATTCTCCATTTACAATAGGAAAAAAAACAACTGCCTTGTCTACTTGGAAACAGTGTGGTACAGCCACTGCACTTTGAACTCACACCATACCTCAACATTTGCTAGCTTCTACATGTGGACAAGGTCCAAGGACTAATTTCAGAACTGATGAAATTCCAGAGAAAACTTTCCAGAAACATGTTTTAAAACAACATTACAGCAAATTGATTATGAATCTGCTGGTATCCTTCCTGAATAGAAAGCTACACAGAATATTGTTGTTTTCTCACTCTCACAAAAAGTTAAACGTATAAGACTTCAATAATCTCAAAAATGTTCAACTCACACTGATTGAACAAATGATTTGATAGAAATAACAGTTCTATATAAGCAGTACATTCTAGTTTGTCTAGACACAATTGTGGCAGCTTTTAAACGTAGCATAAAATGATTAAAAATATACTTGGCTGGGTAGTTTTTGTGAGTCACAGTGTGCTTGAAATGCATTGAGTTTTAACCAGCATAATTTAGACCTGCAAGAGATGCAAGTTCAGAACATACACACTGTATGGCATAGTGAGTAAAAAAAGTCTGTTCCAACAAAGAAGTATAGTGACATATCCAAGTGTTTACAAGGCAAACAGTGTTGAGATGTTGCACTGATATGATTTATGTGCTTACACAAACACACAGTTAATTCACATGATTTTCACAGCCAGGAAATAAACACCATGAAAAGCTTTCTAAGCAACATGAACAGAACCATGAACTTTTAATAAGGTAGTCAGTTCTGTCCTCTTTTCCACATAATTTTAACTACCAATGATATTCATCTCGGCATTTCTTTGTGGAAATTTGCCCCATCTTCACTGTTAAGTTTCTAGGCTGCACTCTACTTCCTATATATAGCAAACGTTACACAATACAACACAGCACATGTAGAAGAAGAGAAAAGGTTACAAATTGCGGTACTTTGTATAAATGCATTCGTCCAAAGACCAACATTGCAACAGACAGAGGGAGTGGAACTTTGGCTGCGATCTTCAAGAGTTTACTGTAAGAATATAAAGAAAAAATTGCCATTTTTGTAGCCATACATGCAGAAGGTATGCAAATACCATACTTCACTTTCTTTTGAAAAGTAATGTATAGATTTCAAGGCTTTGTTCATTTTTAAAACAGAACAATTAGGTCTAATGAGCAGTAACAATTGATGCATAAGCAAGAGCAGTAATGCAAAAAGGGTAATAAAATGTCATTTAAAATATTCTTCTATTAATTTAGAAATAAGTTCTCTGTAACAGCATCAACATCATTTGAGTTAACAGATACTGATCAAGAGGATAAACTACATTGGTTATTATTCATTATCTTTCATGAGGCAGTGACTAATTTTATATCTGAACAAGAAATGCTCTACCCATCAGCAAAACCAAGTGCTCAAAACTTCTTAATCCAGTAAAAAGCACAATACATTTCCACAAGTGCCCATAAGGGGGAGTTACAAGAACATAACGATAATGGTTTGGAATTCGCTTTTCCTTGTAATTTTCTGACAATAATTGCCAAATGTATTAGGATTCTGTAATATTTGGAAGGATTCAATGAATTATGAACGAAAAAGTCACAGTTAAAGAAGTCTTTATGCGACGGATTCTTTAGATGACAAATACTTCATTTAAGTCCAGGTGATTTTCTCCACTTAGCTGAACTGCAGGTAGTTTGCATGCATTTTACCTAGTCTAAGATTTAACCATGCAAGTTCATGAACCTCTATGTAGGCTGAACAATTACATGTCTGTGCAGCATAAATTAAGTTTTACCACACAAATGAAAGTAGTAAGAAAGAAGCACAAAAAAAGAACCTGGAGATTAGGCTACCATACCTTGATTTCACTTCAGAAGTACTTGAATTCATGAGAATTTCTAAAATGCATATGATGATAATAGCTGTAGATCTACATGGATCAGGATCAAGTCTAACATTGTACCTACAAAGAAATGGTGTGAAAAGCATGTTACTTCTAAACTAGGCTACCAAATAAAATCCAAGTTGGGAACAAGCATGTGCTGATAACAACAAACATATGTGAAATGCTTATGGCATCACAGCCTGATTTTAAATCCTTTGTGAATCATTACTTGCTTCAACATATCACTGATACATTTAACATCTACTTATACCATAACACAAACCAGATTGCATAGAAAAACACAATTATAATTAACAAAAGTCTTTGATACTATAAGGTAGCTCATAATGTAAAGAGTCAAGCATTTGCAATTTTTATTGTCTTCAAAAGGTTTATATTTTTTTCTTCTACCTTACTGTCAATTTAAGAAGTTACCTGAGATTTTTAAACCAATAAATCAAGGATGGCAAGCTGAGCAGTACAATCCATGTGAATAAGTTGAAAATTGTAATATGCATCTTAAGACTGTTAATGGCTTCAGCAATTGTTGTACTGCTGGAAAGAGATTGTGTTGCTTCTGAAATACTGTCCATCGAACTCTGGTTTTTGGCTGTGTGTATACTGGAGTTCTGTGAAGTTTCTTTTGAGTGGTCTGAATCCTGAGAATAAAAGACAGAAGACTCAAAAACATACATAGGCTTATAAGAACCCATGCTGGGGGAGGAGGAGGGGAAAAAAACCTCTCCTAACAGTATCATACCAGCTCTGATTTAAGAAGAAAATTTGCAATTTATCTCTCAAAAAGCCATCAAAAGCAAAGTTCAATAGTTCGATTTTAAAGCATCTAGATCTAACCAGAAATTTCTCATACATTAATAGTTTATGTGTCTTTGGAAGAAAAGAATGGAAAGTGGAGATGCCCTGACACCAATGCAGTGATAAGAAATGGAGTTCCTGGAAGGATGAAGAACAGAATAAAAGGAGTAATAAAGCATGTGGGTGAAAATCAGAAATCATCATTCATGGAAAAAAGATATGGGAGGTAATGCAACTGGGAGTAAAATATTAGCTGTAGGTATAAATAACAAAGATAAACTAATGAGTTGGCAGATGCTAACTTCCAATGACAGAAAAGCGCCCCACAAATGAAACAGAACAATACAAAATTATATGGATATGAAAGAAGGGGAGAGGATATAAAACTAAACACACAAAACCACTCAAAGAAACCCAAAGAAACCTGTCAACACCTTTTTCTGGCAGACTGCATTTTTAACTATGTTCTGTGATTGCAAAAAAGAACAGGTAGTTATTATATGCTTGTGTCCATGTCTGCTTACATATTCAATCCTATACCTTAAAGTAACTGAAAAAGGAAAGAAAGTTCACAAGGCATGAAACCCAATGCTTCTTCACTCCTTTTTAAACAGCTCCCAATTTACTGCAGTCTCAGCTCATATCCATCTAATGAATCAAGTTTGTCATCTCTGGATTAAAAAAAAACCCCTAAGCTCCACAAGCTACCTATCTGGAAAAAATATTTACCTGTAGTATAGATTATTACCCAGAAATTAAATTTCCTTTTTTAGGTAAGGCATGCATAATCAAATACCAAAATCTAGACAAAACCATATTGTTCTGTATGTATTCATAGACTAAGTTTTCTTCTTAATTGTACTTCAGACAAGTTCACACTGCAGTGATCTTGAACAGTGAATGCCGTAGTCCTATGTGATGGAACAGGCTACTTGCGTCCTGGCTTTTCTTTCACGTCATGCCCACAGTAAGCAAACTATAGCCATCCAGTCGTCACAGCACAACCTAATACTACCAAGGCAAGATGATAACAATTCATAATGCATAGGTTTGCCAAACAAGTTTTGGTCACAGTTTTGAACAGAAGCAGGAAACAGACTTACCCCATGGAGCATGTTTTGTTCTGCTCTCACATTCACATGCAGTTTTATGACCTGGAAGACATAAAAGTTCAGCTTTTTTAGCAATGTTTCTTCACACATAAGCTGCGGCATAGAAGAAAATTTTGGACTAATTATTTTTGCCCCTTTTTATAGCTAGATGATTCTGGGGCCCCAATGGAGCTGCAATGCAAGAATTCCTCTTCCTTTTTTATGAGCAGCATCCAAAGTGCTCTCTTAAAGAAGGATTTCCAAGCACAGAGAGAAAATTTATGCTGCTCTGCCTTCTCCCTTTCCACTGTGCTCGACAGAGAATATAGAGTGGAAAATCTGCATATTCCTCACCTCCTCCCGATAATTCAGTTCTGCTTCACCTTCTGCAGAAACTCATAAACAGACCATGTAGGAAAAGTCCCACATCAGAGATTTACAACAGAATGGGGAGTAATGGCAGTATGGGAACACCCTTCACAGGGTAACCTTATGTCACAGGGAGCTCAATTAGAGATAGCACTGCTCCTCAGACTGTGCTTTCGGCTGCCACCTACCTGCTTCAGAGCACCTGTAAGCTGCTCTGCTTTGTGCCCCTGCTCCAATGCTTCCCTAGCAGCCAAGTATAGTAGCTGATTAGCAGCTATATAACCATAGGGTGAATCAGATAAGTTAGGAGCTCTGATGCAAGGAAGACCATGGAAACTGAATGGCGGGGACTAAATATGGATCTTCGTGGCACTACCCAAGGGATCAGATTAGACATACAGTAAGACTATCCTAATTCTACACTATATCCTCCTTCCTTTTACTCCATAAAGATTTGTGAAGAGTCTTTAAAGATGGAGAGTACTCTACATGTTCCAAGTTCTCCCTTTGCTAAAGTTTCTCTTCAAGGGAGTTATTAGTCTTTGATTTTATAACAGTACCTATCCATAAATTAAAAATTGTAACCATATGCATTATTGTACTGGGCATATGGGACCATACATTTCTTTGGGAGAAGCGTTATATCAAAAGAAAAATAATTCTAAAAAATCACAGGATTGTGAGAGTCCGATAAGAAAAAAAACCCACCTATTTCAAGTATGCAAATAATAACATTTAAGTATGAAAAAAGGTAATTTGTATTTTTGCTTTTAACATGGGGTTAATTCAAAGCATATGAAATGTTGAATTCAGTTATAAATTCAAAATGTTTAGGCTTTCAGTACCTTAAACAAGTATTGAAGATAAATAATGAATACAGCAAATGCACCGCAAGTGGTCCAGCTAACCAAAGCAAGGGATAACATCCCGCAGAGTCTTCTGGGTGTAATCAACTTATCTTTTTGAAGTACAGTAGGTCTAAAAAAAGAAACAAAGCTACTATTATACTTTTGTAACATCAGACCCACAAAGATCAAAGAATAATTCTGTTTCGTGAATAACTGAAAAGAATAAGTTGTTCCTGATTATTGATTAAACACTGGAAAAATAAAGTTACACAAATTTTAACATACATATCAACTGCTATATAAGAAAATTTTTCTTGCAAAGTAGCTTATCAAATGAACACAACTGTCTTACACTTTCTTGAATGTCTGTCTAAAAAAATGTATAATTTCAATTCTTTTGAGGAATTCTAGAATCTTTGGGTTGAAAGGGACCTTTTAAGGGCATCTAGTCCAACGTCCCTGCAATAAGCAGGGGCATCTTCAACTAGATCAGGTTGCTCGGAGTCCCGTCCGTAAAGGATACATTGGTGAACATAAAACATTAGATAATGCTAACTGTAGATATGCATCAGTCACCAAGTTCTTCTGTTCAGCCCAAGAGAACATGTATCTTATTACTGCACAGCTGCATCATGAAAGTGACTCCTACTACAAATGTTAATGCACTGCAGTGTTCAATGGTAGTATAGCAGTATTCAACAATAAGTATCCAAGACATTAATTCTGTGACAAACATTCTTCACAGACAGGAATTTCTGCTTGCTCACGGTCTCAGACACACAGAAAAGCTTATTTAAAGTTTCTGGATTCCAGCTTATATGACTAAGAGACAAGTATGAATCTGAAATAACAAAGATAAGCTGAGAAGGTGTGACAATGAGGGGAGTGTGGTGGGGAGGAAGTGCAATAGAACTATGAAAAAGTCTGTACTTCTTGGATATTCATGGGGTATCAAGAGAGACATTGAAAACAGAAAAAGCCTTATTTGGAAAATACAATTTTAAAAACTTTTGCAACAAATATTGAAAATAACCACAAAAATAAGGCTAGCTGACAAGAACAAAGAATTCCACAGACAGCTAGTGACAAATTCTTTGGTGCTGGCCATATCAGATCATTTCAGAACACTGAGCAAAAGTCAAGTGAACACTATCTACTTTAAAGAGATTTATAGAAAACAAATGTTTTTTTCTTCTTCAAAATTTCAGGAGTAGATTAAAAACTGTGTAAGGTATTAGAACTGTGTAAGGCACTAGAATTTCAAAATGAACCAGCTGACTTACAGGTAGGCACACAAAAATCTTATCTTCCTGCCTCTGCCCAAGACATTCTCAGGATTTTCAGGGAAATCAAAAGCTTTAATGAAAAGAGTACCAACTGAGTTAAAACCCTTAAAGATTTAGTAAGAGTAGTTTCAAAACTTAGAAGTTCATCACTTTGCCACTTAAAACTAATACTAAAGCACCCACTGTAATTTATAAACAAGGTGGCTGAGAAGATATTGCTGATACAACTTCTATTATCTGGTAGAATAAGACCAGAAGTGCTAGTGATGAAAAAAAGAAAATTAATTTAGCGTATCTTTTCTGAGTAAAGAGCATCCCAACCAACTTTTTGGAGACAGAGTTGGCTCAAGTCTAGCTGAGGACTGTTACCTGTGTCAGAACAGTCAAACAATTAAAATAGCTAAGCATGTTATCCAATTTACTAATTTACTCTTTCAAAATCTTTTTATCTTCCTGCTTTTTTAAACCCAATTTCATATTTGAATACACATCTGTACAAGCAAAAACATTTATAGATCATGTCTAAGAATACTGAAAATTCATTGGTCTTGTAGAGCGAAACGAACATCCAAAAAGTTTTTGTTTCACAAATCTGTTTGTGTTCTTTAATGCAGTTTCTCCAATATGAATAATGAGGAATGGATTGCAATGCTTATAATCCCTTTTCTAAATATATACATTTATTTTTTGAGCTGCTGAAAAGGGAATAGTTCATGTGCTTTCTTTTCCCCAGCAAGCTTTCCTCAAAAACAAACTGAAAACATTTATAACAGCTGGTTAAGGAAACAAGGAAGCCATTTATGCTCCCTTTTGGAGATGTGGAATAAGGAATACGAGGCAATGCTCATACTTCATTAGTACTTAACACTGAGATACTCGGCTGTCTAAAATCGTGTATGAAGTACATTGCGGAATTCAATCTGCCCAAGCATTCACACTGAAGCAACAGAAAGAATTGACAGGGTCACAGTCATCTAAAAGAGCATAATTATATACTGTAACATTTTACCTAATCAGAGTTAACCATAAGGAAGAGAAGAGTCTCAGAGATGTAGAGAAAAATACTGCACTCCAGTAGGCAATGCCAGTCCCAAAAAGAAATAGAATCAGGGACACAAGGGTGAATGATGCATCCTGACTACTCAGCACAGCAGCATCCACTTCTGGTAGTGACAGCGATTCCCATATCTCTCTAAACCAATTAAACCTGCCAAAAACATGAAAGCAGTATTACTTATCACCTCCAATTGCCGTTACAATAAAATATATATCAACTATTCCTCCTACTATAGCCTTTCAAACAAAATCAGTGTCAGGTGTTCACATCGACTACAGATAAAATAATATTCCTTCCCACCAATAGTTTTACTGAAACCTCTGTTTTGGAAACTGCTTTAAATAAATAAGTTATGCAAACTCACCCCGGCAGAAACACAACAATGCTTATAAGAGGTTCTACTTTGTAGGGTTTAGCTGTCCTAACTAGTTCAAGGGAAAAGTCAGAACACTGGCCTAGAATCAAGAACAGAAAACATCTATAGTTATTATTTTGTCATGAACTTTAACAAAGAAGATCCACAACAAAAAGTAAATTCAGAGAAAGGTTTAGAAGTTTACTTTGAAACAAGGTCTTATAACAGTACTGCAAGTCAGCATACTTCAAGGCCCTTATTCACGGGATCACTCATATTAGGCAATATGTCACAGGAGCTTCTAGAGAGATTACGGAGTTTGGTACAAACACAACCTCAATTTAGATAAAAATGCGTTTTGTCTGCAGACACGTCTAAAGGTTAGCCTGCAAATCTCCATGCAAGAAGTAAAGTGTTTTGCACATATTAACAATATTTTTTAAACTCTTACACGCATTTTTAAGTAGACTTCTATTAATTCTAAAATATTGTGCAACACCAATCATTCACAAAGAAGGGATTGTAGAGTAAAATAATAAAGAAATATCTGCTACACCACAACCTTGGAGGACTAGCAACAAACAAAAAACAAAACCGAAAAGCATAGATCCCAGTACTTGCACAAGTTCAATAACACTGAATTTGAATGATACCTCCATTTATTGAACTAAAAAATTCACAACAATTAGCTAGTCTTTCAACAGTGAGTTGGATAATTAAGTTCTCTAAAGACGTTTGTGACAGAAAAAAAATTTCTAGAAAGCTACCTGTTGATATCAGCGTGCTCAATTGTCCTCCATAAGTAAGAAGAATATTAGAAACAACATAGACAGGAAGAGCGCCAGCATGGAACCTTATTATCTGAAAGACAAGGATATAAGTATAACTTTAAATTTGTATATATAAAAATATATTAAAACAACACACACACAAAAATATTATCATGAAGCCAGTACAATAATGTGATTAGAAAACCTCTCTTAAAAGATTCAAACAGTTTCTCATTTTGGTGCATAAGTATTTGATAACCACCATTAGCAATTAATGTTATACATGAAAAATACTTGGATCTCTAATAAACTGCTACTGAAACATGTTTTGATAAATGACCAAATTATAAATGAATGCTTTTTTTTCCCGTCAAGACAAATATTAAAAGAATACAGTAGCACGTTAATGATATGTCAGTAAAAGAAATTAAAAAATTAAGAGTAAAAGGCCACTCTCCAAGCAAAACCTGCATATAGTTATATATGTAACTATATATATAGAAAGAATTTTTGGAAGTAATTTCATGTATGTTTTAATTGGCTTCCACTGTCCCAAGTCATTATTAATAAACAAATAGCACATGAATTCTTCTAAAATGATAAGAAAATGAGAAATCCTTGATAAAAATGCATACATTCAAATAGAGAAACTTGCCAGTAATATTCCAGCACTACACTTAAGTGCTTGCAAATTAATTACGTTTTAGAAACAGAAAACTGCAGATGGCTGGTCTATTTTTACTGATAGCAATGTCAAAACGTATTCTTCATCGATAACCAAAGAAAATTTGTTGAAAAGGAGCATACAGATCTACTTGAACTTTTTTCCCTAACTTTTAGTTGATGCCAAATGTGTTTTGAAGTTCTAACACTACTGACTCATCAGGCAAGACAGTGACCTACAGCGTCATGCCTTTACAGATATCCAGGTAACCACAAAGCCAAATGCTCAACATTTACATTAGCTCTACTCCTCTGAAAACTGAGGCCTGACATTCATCCGGATGGGATGCCTTGTCAAGTGACAAGGTTTTAAATGATCATCGAATTAGTGTTCCTCTTGCCATCAAGGAATTTGAAGTGCCATGGTGGGGAAGGGAGGAGAACTTCTATAGATGATACTGACATGAAAACCCATCTAGTACTAGAAGGTTTTCTTACTTGCCCAAGAACCTGTAAAAGTGACGTCTTCAGAATTACCTTGATAAAAAGAGAAATATTTTGTTATTTTATACAAAGGTAAGCATAAGTACAAAGTACTTTTATGTTTAAGAAGCCAACATAAGTATTAGAATACAGCAATCCCATAACTAAAATGTACAAAGCTTACTACTGACTTTTTTAAAAAAAAGCTTTAGAAGTTTTTCTTAGGAATGTGAGCCCAACTTTCAATATTACTCCAGCTGTTGTGAAATACTAGGAACATGCACTACATTTACAAAAAGGCCAAACAGCCCACCTTTAGATTTGCATAGTATTTATTTTGATTAATGCGCTACACGTTTTGAAAGACTGAATTATGAAAAAATTATACAGCAATGCAAACTAGCTATAAAATGAATTTGTATTACTCACTTCATACTGACAGTCTGAGGAAGAGTAAATATTTAACTCTGGAACCCTGTCGTCATTTTGAGGCTGAGCAATATGCAGTTTTGCAGAAATCTCAGTAAAAGACGGAACTCTGAAACAGCAACTTAATTGGTAATTGTTATCCTTATAATCAAAAGCAGCCAAACATGCTTTAGTCTTCAACAAGTGCACGTAAAACCATATCTAGTACATCAAGTGTCATCACAAGCTATGAACAAAATGGTATAATGAACTTGTTTATCCTATCACAGAGAACTACATAGCATCCTCAATCCACTGTCCTCTGAACTATCAAGAGGCATGGTACTAATGAAAACAGAGAACTTTAGCATTAATGTACACACTGCCTCACAGAACATGTAAATATCCTGAGTGACAAGAATGGGAAGGACAGAGTCTCAAGGATACAATTCAGTTTCCTGCAAGCATTACATTGTTAGAAAATACGGGGGCCGGGGCGGAAGTAGGGAGGTGTCCTTAAGACCTCTAAAATAAACAAGGAAGACAGTTTTCCAACCATATAAAATAAAGTCAGGTTGTTCGATTGCAATTCATGAGTGACACGAATTTCAAGCCATATCATGTGATTTTGTCAGGACTATGCTGCTGAAGCAACTTAGGGCTGCTGTGTGATCCAAACCCTGGGTTACAGGAAGAAGCCAGCATCCAGAGCAGCCTCTGTTGCCCACTCATGAGGCAGTAAAAGATTATGCTGAGAATTTCAGACCAGCAAGTCTGACTTCCTTCTCAAGAGAATCAATGAGAATTATTAAACAAACAATTAGCAGATATTCTTATTCTGTGGAAAAGTCAAGACAACTTTGTCAACAAGGGCAGAAAGGTAAATGAGGAAAAGATGCAGAAGCCAAACACTTGAGACAGCAGTTGTCTCCTATCACAACAGGATGCAAACATTCTTCAAAAACATATCAAGAAGTCAGTCATAATTGTTAAAGTCCTTACTTTGCTACAGTTATTGAGTCTTCATGTGACCAAGGTATATGAAGTCTGTAAACACTAGGTTTTCTTTCTGAAATGGAAGACAATTAAAAAATATAAAATTAAGAACAGGTGTGGCAACTGTCTCCAAGAAGTAAAATGCAAGTAAAACAAAGGTGGTATATAGATCACTAAACAGAATCACTGGGCTTGCAGTTACACTGCAATTGACATTGCAATGTAGATCAGTGCAGCTCGCATTGAACAAAAATTACATTTTTTAACTCATGCTGTTACAGAACAAGACAGTGAGACATCAATGTTTAAAGGCATGACAGTTATGAGAAAACTTCTGGTTTTCAATACAAAGCTGCAACCTCAAGCTAATACATCCATCACTTTTTTTTTTTTAAACAAAGTCCTTTAGCATCCCTTTCTGTTTAAGCTTATGTAACCCAACGTTCAAATTTGAGTCTCATAATTAGCAAATAAACATCCTAGCCAAATGTGCTAGAAACACTTTGAACATATTGCAGAATCCTGCTGAAAAAAATGCTGAAAGTGCAGCTTCCCTTTGCTAGGAAGTAAGGAAAAACAAACATATGAGGACTACTTCCACATTTTCTTTGAGCTATCCTTCTTAACAAAAAATGGAAAGTGAGAGATATTAGCAGAGACATTTGAACAGATTATAACAGTACTGCCTAAACCCCATTGCATGAGAGGACTTTTGTTTCCACCAGCTTCAGTCTTGAGAATTTTCAACAAGCTTTGTTTTATAAATTTATACTTTAGAAGACTTATATTTACCTTTGAGTGACTGGCAATGGCTCTCTATATAAATTTTGAAAGCTTGATATATCTAGAACATAAAAAAAAAGTCTCTTACATTCTCCAAACAGCAGTTATGTTAGCTTAAAAAATTAAGCAGCATTCTTACTTGGTTGAAGTGCTGGAGCTGTATTTTGTAAAGTAAGCCAGTTGAATTTAATAGAACCTTGCTTGAAGAAAGCCCTGTAAAAGATGTATTATTTTCACATATTTGATAAAATTATAATTTTTTTCCCCCAGAGACTTATGTGCTTCTATACTTGTTAGTCAAAACACCATATTTCTTATTTCTTTGTCTGTTATTAACAACAGTAGTATTAACTACAATAAAAACAAACCCTGAAAAACCTCCTGACCATTGGAATTGTTAGGCAAATTTATTATCCAAATGTTAGTAATATTAGTTTTCCTTTTTTTCCCCCCCCTAAAAGTAATATGCTATACTTACCAAATGAAAAAAGATGTGTTACAGGAAGCTGTACTGTTCTGGCATCTTCTTTGAAGAACTCACAGTCCAAAGTATACTGCAATTCAGGATATTAAATACAGATCTAAATGGAGCAGAAGACTATAAAGACTTTGTACCTGCCAAATTCTATCCACAGGCTCAGGCAGAGTCCAGGACATAAGTACTGAAAAGCCAACTCTCCACACTCCACTGATAGGGACTGGCAGGTAGTTTGTTCCTATACAGAGCCGTACAAGTTTGGGTAGCTTAAAGTATGACTTCCAGGTTACTCTAGCCCTCACCCACTTGCAACAGCCTTCAAAAGGCTAATCAAACAGCTGAGAATGACTAGAATCCACTTCACATCCCTCTATCTCAGGTACATCTTTTTTTTAAGGGGGTATTGCAAGGGATAGTGACCTGTCCAAACTAGATACAATCTCCTAAGCAAAAAGAACCTTTAGTTTGTCTCCTGAAGTTTAATCATGCAAAAGCAAAGCAAAGTATCCAGCAGGTATGAGTTGTACCATCTCTAATTAGTATTTTCAAGTTAACTTGAAAATTATTTTCCATCCCATTGTAAATCCAGCATTTGTTTACTTTTAAAAAGCAGTTTCCAAGATTTAACACTGGACCACAACTTAGCACGTTATATTTCACAAGTGATCTCTCTTATATCTTTGCTTATCCTGAACCTTGCATATTACTAATTTAACTGCAAGATGTCTCTCTCACAACTATCTGAAGATACACTCAAGACGAGTATTATAATCACTTCAGATGTGAATAATTTCTTGGATCATGGATTATTATACCACAGAGACTGTATTTGTGTTGCAGAAAGGAATGTCAGATCTACTTAGACTTTGAATTCAAGTTCAGTGTTCTACCATTTTCAGGACTAACTAGAAAGGCCTGCCAGACTTATCTGGGGAATATGCAAAGTCTGCTTAGATTCATTGCAAGTGTTCCTCTTACTGGGATCCTGAAAGGCCTTGATGCAAAGATATCCAATTCATCTGTAAGATTATGAACTATCAAAGTCTGCACAACTCTGTCTACCACGTTATTTGTGGTCTCAGAGCTTGCAGAAGTATCTGTACCACTCTCCCCAGAATCGATACGTGGTGTCTTCAATAATCTACGGCACTCTCCGCTACCCTGGATAAGGGAACTGACTGTTCAAAAAGATAAATATTTAAGAATGCCATCAGAATATTAAGAAAAACAAGGAAGAAAAATATTAGAATCTCCAACAAGAATTCCAAGAACTGGTTTGAAAACTGTTGCTTTGTACATTTCAAGTACTATTCATTTGGTATTTTATCAAATGAAAATGTTTCTGAGCTCGTAGAAGGTAACAAAGCTACCTTCAAACCACACTGGAGTGTAGGTCTATGGTTTCTCAAAGTAACTTAGCACTTATTTAATATACTTCTTTCTCCTTCTGTCATAGCATCTGAAAGCTATGAACACACTAAGCAAGCAATTTCTGTATTTCTTTTTTATACCTTATTGCTGACAGTGGGTGGGACCTGAATGACAGCATGGGACAAAGAAGGATAGTCTTGAAGTTTCATTATTACAACCTAAAAAAAAAAAACAACAAAAAAACAAAGAAAAGCCATTGCTGAACATAGCCCTTAGCTTGTCCCTTGCCGGTTCCCAGATGTCCAGCTCTTGCACCCCTTCCTCTGGAATACAACTGCACCTTGCAATGCGGTAAACAGATCCTTCTCCCATGATATGCAACTACCCCACAAAGCACTTCTCCCTCCTACATGTTATGTACAATACTTACCTTGGTGGTTGGAAGTAGCTCAGCTCTCCAGGATAAATCAGTAGCTTCCAGGCTGTAAAAATTCACACACATTAAAGGATGAGCATATTCATTATGCAGCCACTACATTATGACAGTGGATTAACATAGCAGCTTTTCTGTCTATATAGACATGGATTCACATGATTTTTAAATTGAGAAGAAGTTTGGGTCTACTGCAGTTGCCTACCATAGTAATTTATGAAACTAATAATTTCAGATACTGCAAAACTTGTTTTTGCCAAAAAAAGTTAAGCAAAGCTCTTTCTCATACACAAGATATTCAGCTGTTATTGGCCATGCAACTTCAGACACATAATGAAAACTCTTAATGAGCTAAAACAGCTCTGGTATTGAATTAACACACAGTTTTATTAGCATAACAACAAAATATATTTTTACTATGGGAATATCTACAACATACCACATAAACCAAAAATTTTGTTAGCTGCTGCAGAGCTTGCAGCAGTTCTAAGATGGTGTGTACTTAAGTTAACACACTGAACTGCAGCACATTTATTCAGTCATTTTAAGTTATGATTTTAGAATACCAGGATGCTTCTGTTTTTCTGAATAGTGTTACATGACCTCAGGACACAGTCCACAGCAAAACCACTATTATTAGATGAGGGTTTAGGTAGTAGTCCTGCACTAGGCTAACTTGCACTTGATGCTTATCAAAGGTTATGCAAAGGAGTAACAACCAACTTCTTGGATCAGGAAAAAGTAATTATGACATCTGGCTATCAGCTGGAGGCAAGACTCTGTGGCTATACATCTGAGCACAGATCCCAGAACAGATAAATACTATGCTAGCTCAATTCCACCTAGAAGCTTTCCCTAATCTGAAGGGCAGCTTGAATTTACTTTGAGTTTACTTTGCAAATGTAAGCTAAGCCAGTGTTTTAAATCCATTTTTGTAACAATTGTAATTCAAATAATTACTAAATAATTACTATTATTATTTATAATTACTAAATCACCCACATTTCTAAATATTTTTCATATGACAATAGCAATTTTGGAATAAGAAACAAATAAAAGAGATGCTTCAATCCACTCTCTTCTGAAGGCTTTGAGTGACACTTGATGTCTTCTGCCATAAGATTCTAAAGGGATGCTACAAAACACAATTGAGGAATCCAGCACAGCATGTAGTGTCCACAAGAGAGCAACGTTTCACTGCTAAGAAGAAAGAGTTCACCTATTTTATTCTGCATTCATGCAGTATTTGAGAAACCCTGTTCTTTCCTGTTTTCTTGGTGATACAGAAAGCACGAACTATTCACAGTAAGAATTTTACTTTTCCTCCCAATCTCTTCCTTCCTAAGGAGGAGGATATTTCATATGCTTTAAATTCAAATATAGTCTCACAAGTCTCACTTACCCATTTGAATAAAGAACAGGAACTGTTTACTCACCACATTGATGAATTACTGTTCATACAGCCATAAATCCAGCTACTTGTGTCCTGTAAAGTCAATACCATAAAATAGTACATTACACCATGTGTGTCTGTATTTATAAATATATTAAAAATAGTCTTTAATCCAAACAATATAGGAGTTAATGCTGATAATCTTCTCCCAAATTTCTATATGCTGTTTCAGTACACCAGATGTCAGCAACTGTTCTAAAAATCCTCTGATAGCAGAACCTCGGTTCAATGAACTTACTAAAAAGAGGAACAAATGTCCATCTTCTCATTCCTTGTCTATTAAGTGTGTCTGCAGCAGCTATCACTATAGTGACCAAACTCTCATAAGGATGTCAAATCCTGAAGCGTAAAAGCAAAGATGATAAAAACAGTCTCTCTCAGACTTCCTCAATTATTTATAATGAAAGATATCCACCAACTTTTTTTCTTCATTTCACAATGAAGTCAGACTCAGAATCACAGAATCACAGAAACAC